TCATTTTTAATTGACTCTTTTTTATTTCTTCTAGGTCCTTGTTAAACATTTCTTGCATCTTCTCAATCCTTGTCTCCAGGCTATTTATCTGTAACTCTATTTTGTTTTCAAGATTTTGGATCATTTTTATTATCATTATTCTAAATTCTTTTTCAGGTAGATTCCCTATCTCCTCCTCTTTTGTTTGGCTTTGTGGGCATTTTACCTTTACCTGCTGGGTATTTCTCTGCCTTTTCATCTTATTTAGATTACTGTGTTTGGGGTGGCCTTTCTCTATTCTGGTAGTCTGTGGTTCCTTTTTATTGTGGAGGTTTCTCCCAGTGGGTGGGGTTGGATGATTGGCTTGTCGAGGTTTCCTGGTTAGGGAAACTTACGTCGGTGTTCTGGTGGGTGGAGCTGGATTTCTTCTCTCTGGAGTGCAATGGAGTGTCCAGTAGTGAGTTTTGAGATGGGTCTATGGGTTTGGTGTGACTTCGGGCATCCTGTATATTGACACTCAGGGCTGTGTTCCTGCATTGCTGGAGAATTTGTTTGGTATATCTTACTCTGGAACTTATTGGCTCTTGGGTGGTGGTTGGTTTCAGTGTAGGTATGGATGTTTTTGGATGATCTCTTTTTAATTAATGTTCCCTGTAGTCAGGAGTTCTCTGGTGTTCTTAGGTTTTGGGCTTAAGCCTCTTGTCTCTGGATTTCAGTCTTATTCTTCCAGTAGCCTCAAGACTTCTCCATCCATACAGTATTGATAATAAAACTTCTAGGTTAATGGTGAAAAGATTCTCCACCATGAGGGACACCGATAGAGGTTCACAGAGTTACATGAAGAAGAGGAGAGGGAGGAAGGAGATAGAGGTGAGCAGGAGGAGAAAAAGGGGGATTCAAGAGGAGAGAGACAGATCTAGGCAGTACTCTGTTCCCTAAGAGTTCTCTGCAGCCAAGAACACCCACAGAGATTCACAGAATTGGATAGAGAAGAGAAGGGGGAGGCAGGAAATAGAGTTAATCTGGGGGAGAAAAAGGAAAGTCAAAAGGTGGAGTGAGTAGTCAAACCAGTAATCACATTCCTGAGTACAAATGGGTACTGAAGGTTGGATTCTTAAATGTCCAAAATTGATATCAAATACTGAAAAACAAAGATTAAAATTCTAGAGTAGAGGTTAGACTCTTAAAAATACAATATTAAAAAAAAACAAAAAATTTAAGAAAAACATATGAAGTTCGCTTTAAAAATAAGGTCCTTTTTTTTTGCAAGGTTATAGTGGGTTATAAAATGAAAATTAAGGATTAATAGAGGAATAATAGAAGACTTTAAAAAAAGAAAAGAGAAAAAAATTTTTTATTAAAAAAATAATAATAGTAAAAATATCTAGGAATTTCTCTGGAGCTGTTGTGGGCAGTGTGTGTTCAGTTCAGTTTCAGATAGTTCCTTTTTCCAGCTTATACTTCTCATTATCTATAGGCTCCTTCCAGTGCAGTCGTTGTTAACTACAGGGATTTTAATCTGTTGCACCTGTCATTTCTAAAGCGGTTCCCTCTGTTTATTTGGCTTCTGTTTGCAGGTCTCTACAGTGTCTAATTTCCGCCCTGACACAAGGGTGCGGAGGTGGTCTCTTGTTTAGTTTCACTTGTTCAGTCTTGCTGTGGGGAGGGAGGGGCACTGTAGACAAATATCACTGGCGTGTGTGGGGAGCACTCACAGTGTTTCAGCCACACTGGGTTTGCCCCTGCTCACAGCATGTGTGCTTTTCCCATCTACACTGCTCAGGCTCCAGGCTGCTCTACATGAGCGGGCCCTGAGCTGTGTGCACTTCCCAGGTCTAAGCCGCTCAAGTTCAGATTTTTAGGTATTCCACAAAGGCACAGGCTTGGTTGGGCCTGCGTTTTGTCTCTTCCCCGGCCAGAGCAGCTCAGGCAACCAGCAGTTTGATGAACACCCTCTCTCCAAGTGCAGTGCGCCTTATCCCCTCCGTGGTCCCAGCCTCAGTTTCTGGTGCGCTGGTCCGGTGCATGTTGTGTCTCTTCTGGGGTGCTGATCTCTGACTGTGACCCTCCTGGCAGATGTCAACCATCCAGAATCTCAGGAAGTCTTTGGTTAGAGACTGGAGGCCTGTTTGCAGTTTTGTAGGGGATGCCGTCTCTGGGACCGAGTTTGCCCCTTTCCCATCCCCACTGCCTCCTGCCTCTGGCAGGGGATGGGCTGGTCCTCAGCTGTCTAGCTCTTCTTTGATATTCCCTCCGTCCTTTGTTCTGGGAACTGGCGGGTAGTGCCTTAGTTTAGGACTTTTTGCAGGTTAGTTCACTCTTGCTATCCCACAGTTTAAGTTGCTATCTCACATTAGCTCCCTCCGATTGCCCTCAGGGCTTTCAGGCCTGGTCCTTACCCTAAGCAATGCTGCCTCCTCCTCTCCATTCAGCCCCCACTTGCTGGTGGCAGATGTGAGCGCCTGGGGTACTTTTCTGCTGGGAGTTGCTTTTAGGCATGTAATCTGTGGGTTTTATTTATTTTTCCTCCCAGTTAGGTTGCCCTCTGGGATTCAAAAACTTCCCCCAGACCTGCTGGTGAGAGGGTTTCTTGGTGTTTGGAAACTTCCTCTATTAAGACTCCTTTCCCGGGAGAGATCTCCATCCCTAACTCTTTTGTCTCTCTTTTTATCTTTTTTTTTTCAAATAACTTTTTTTATTTTTTAATTTATTTTTTTTTCATTTATTTTTATTAGTTGGAGGCTAATTACTTTACAATATTGTAGTGGTTTTTGTCTCTCTTTTTATCTTTTATATTTTGTCCTACCTCCTTTTGAAGACAATGGACTGCTTTTCTGGGTGCCTGATGCCCTCTGCTGGTGATTAGAAGTTGTTTTGTGGAGTTTGCTGAGCGTTCAAATGATCTTTTGATGAATTTGTGGGGGAGAAAGTGGTTCCCCGTTCTATTCCTCCACCATCTTAGCTCCTCCCCCCAACTTGTCTCTTTTTTAAGACTGCCTTCCCGGGATGGATCTCCTTCCCTATCTCTTTTGTCTCTCTTTTTATCTTTTATATTTTGTCCTATCTCCTTTTGAAGACAATGGGCTGCCTTTCTGGGTGTCTGATGTCCTCTGCCAGCAATCAAAAGTTGTTCTGTGGAATTTGCTTGGCGTTCAAATGTTCTTTCGATGAATTTGTGGTGGAGAAAGTGGTCTCCATGTCCTATTCCTCTGCCACCTTAGGACCGCCCCCTACTTTATAGTTTTCAATGTATAAGTCTTTCATCTCCTTACATTTACTCCCGATTATTTCACTCTCTTTGATCCTATTATAAATAAGAATATTGGAACTTCTCTAGTGGTCCACTTGCTAAGACTCCACACTCCCAATGTGGAGAACTTGGGGTCAATTCCACGTCAGGGAATAAGATCCCACATGCCACAACAAAGACCTGGCACAAATAAATATATAAAAATAATTTTTTAAAAATTCAAACTTAGCTCTTGACTACAGCTTTAAAAAATAAATAGGATTGTTTTCTTATTATGTTTTCTGGGATATTCATTTTTCATGCATGGAAAGGTATTTGAATATTGATTCTGTACTGTGCAACTTTCTGTGCAGGTTGTTTTTGCCTGTGGAATCTTAAAGATTTTCTGCATGTAAAATCACGTCCTCTGTGAACAGACATAGTTTTACTCCTTTCTTTCCAAATGGAAGTCCTTGGTTTCCTTTAAATATTATGTTGAATAGAAGTGTTGAGAATGGGCATCCTTGCCTTCTTTTCCTTGATCTTAGAAGTTTTCAGATTTTCACTGATGACTGTGATGTTAGAGGTTGACTTTTCATATGACTTTTATTATACTGCAGTCACTTCCTTCTATTTCTACTTTGTGGAATATATTTGTCATGAAAAGCTAGTGAATTTATTAGATACTTTATGGACCTCAGATGAAGCACAAATGGAGTTTTTTTTTTTTTAATTTTAATAAAATTTTGTAATGCTCCCAGTGGAAGCATAGGAATTGATGATACAGAAATCAGTTTCCATTTCTCCTTTGCTAAATCCTTGTCCTTGTCACTCTCTGGGAGTAACAGAATTCTGTGTCCTTAATTAGAATGCCCAGAGGTTGGAAACATTTACCAACCAAAACACTGTTTCTCATCATTTTCTAGGTAAACCTTCTAGGATGGCCTTCAGAGTGCGTCACAGTAAACGCCAGAAAGTGAGTATTTCCCAAATCCTGTTGACAAAAAAATCCTTCTCATGGATCCAGTCACAGGTGAGAATAGCAGAAAACAGAGATCCTGGAGACTACTGCCTTCTTGTCCTGAATCTTTAGCACAATGTCTGATATCATTACCATCTTTATAGTTAGTAAGAATAGCAACAACAGTAGGCTGTTCTATTTGTTACATTATTTTCACAATATTTCAGACTTTAAGCATTTTATGTGAATAAACTTACTGAAACCTTAAAACAATCCTACAGTACCTATAAGTAGGTACATAGCTATCACCATTATAGATCAAGAAACTGAGGTTAAAAAAAAATGTTTGATTATATATCATTGGTAGTGCAATCTAGTCCAAAGGACCTTCTCTAAAACCATTATAATCTGGTTAAAACTTTCATAGCTTAATAAAGTTTATTCATACATCTTTATATAATTCATCTGAAAGATGTTTTCAACCTCAGTTTTTTTGTTCTGTGCTAGTGAGGGTGGACTCCGGCAGTTGGTGATGGACAGGGAGGCCTGGTGTGCTGCAGTTCATGGGGTCGCAAAAAGTCAGACATGACTGAGCGACTGAACTGAGTGAGGGATATACTAAGACATCTGACTAAGGGAAGCCTTAGGACATGTTGGGCAGTTTGTAGAGTGGGCAGTCCAAGATGAAGAAGCTGAAGGACATGTTGGACAGTTTGTAGAGTGTACGGTCAAAGATGAAGAAGCTTAAGGATATGTTGGGCAGTTTGTAGAGTGGACGCTCCAAGATGAAGAAGCTTAAGGACATGCTGGGCAGTTTGTAGGGTGGACAGTACAAGATGAAGAAGCTTAAGGACATGTTGGGAAGTTTGTAGAGTAGAAGGTCCAAGATGAAGAAGGTGACAGACATGATCCCTATCTCAGAGCCTCCCACTCCAATAAGAGGAAGCAACTCGCAGCCATGACAAACCTCAGGTTTATGACTCAAAAACAACAAATAAGAAAATAACTGAAGGACTTCACACAGGTTACCTGCTTTTGAGTAGAAACTCATCATCTGGACATGATTTCAAACACTCATTCTTGTAGGAGGAAGTAACAAGGCCTTCCTCTGAGCTTTGATTGGGCAACTAACTCTCTTGTTTGGAATCATTTGTTTAGCTTGCCCCTGTGTTGTGAGCTTTGAGAGTCTAGCCCATACCCATTAATTCTCAGAAGTCGAGGCTCAGCTCAAAGCCCTTGAGGGCCCCGTGAATGTTTTGTGAATGACTGACTCCACATTTAAACATTCATCTAGGAATAAGAAGGTCAAGGAATGCTGAAGATAGTATTTGTGAGCTAGACTTCAATTATAGAGGCAGTTGAGGGGATATATTGATGGCAAGGGTGTATGCTCAAATTCATACTCTATTAAATAGCGCACACAATGATTTATTGAAAGTTAGTAAATTTCATGTCCACTGTAACATTGAGAATTAGAATGTATACCTATTTATGGATCAGGAAACTGAGGAGAACCAGCTCGTCGTATAGCCTTCTTCAAGCAGGATTGATGAGGCCAGCTATTTAATTCAAACATTGTTTCTAAGACATGGCAACCTGCAATGTTCAGCTCATTTTCTTTATTGTCTAAATGTGCTTCTGCCAATAGTCTTTTCTCTTCTCAATCTCACTGCTTTGTCACCTTATTTTCCAGATGTGTTTTGTCCCCTCTGTAATTTTTCATACTTCTTTGACTATCAAAGATCCACTAATTAATAGAAAAAACCCAGGATTTCTCTATGAGCCCTTACCCTCTTCTTTCCCTGACCTCCAGCTATGCTCCCTGCCTTGCTCTTACTTTTACACAGAATGTTGAAGGGGAAGAACCTTAAGATATGAATTCTAGTTTTGATTCATTACCCACTTAGGTCCTTGTTTTACACCCCAGTGTTCAGACCAGGTATTTCCAAGAATTGTCAAAGTATTAACTAAAGTCATGCATGTGAAAACATCTCATACAGTCCTAAAGAACTAAAGAAATGCATATTGTCTTTTACTCACATGGAAGGGAATGTCCCGGGGACCATTAAGTAAGGTGTCCAGTTTGAAGAAATTGCCGGTAGAGGAAAAATTGTTGAAGAAAAGTGGCTCCAAGTGGGCTCAGAAACCAGTGTACACTCTCCGAGAAACAAGGACCCCTGGACAACACTCCAGACAAAAAGTCGGTAAGAGAAAATATGGGGAGTTGCTCTAATTAGTTCCTCTAATCCCTGTAGAAAAGGTAACAAGTATAGCCTAGGTGTGTGGTGTGGACTTTGGGTAGGCATGGGTTTAAGGTGGACTGATCTGAGACATGAAGTTAGCAGTGGGACCTGAGGAAAATCTTATACATTTTCTGAGGTCCTGATTGTTCATCTGTAAAGTGAAGATAAGGATACATAACTCATACAGTGTTTGAAAGCATTACATTAAATGCAAAACTGCTGACACATACAAGTGGTTCAATAAATCCAGCTGTGATAATAGGTACCATGCTTTGTTCGTGTTTATGCCCAGACCTCTGCTCAATGCCTCATGTGTCATGTGCCCTTACCATTTATTTTCTGAGTAGATGTGTCAGTGAGCTGTTTCCTAAGTAAGAAGTTTGGGAATTAAAAGCTACTAACAGGAAGTACAGGAAGCTAACACTGAACTGGGCATCTGTGTAGCCTCAGTCTCCTGAACCAGTATTTAAAGACAGAACAAACAAAGTATAGAGAAGGGTTTTCCTGGTGGTTAAGTGGTTAACACTCCATGCTTCCACTGCAGGAGGTGTGGATTCCATTCCTCATCAGGGAACTAAGGTCCCACAAGTCATGCAGCGTGACCAATAAATAAATAATGTAACATCAAACAAAAAAATACAAAAGTAAAAGTTTGAAAAATAAATGGAAAAAAGGTTTTGACAAAGTGTATAAATGGACAAGTATGAGATCTCACAGTTTCTGATAAAACCGTGACTAACTCTCCATACCCCACCAGCCTTGCTTAGCTTCTGTTTTCCATCTTAGAACTCAGAGGAAAGGAGACTGGAGTGAAGAGGTACAGACTACGGGAAAGAAAGGACCATGTGTACCAAGAGCTCAGCGAGCCTGAGGATGATGACTACCTCTGTGAGTGACCCCGCTGGCCCACTCACGTAGAAGGGGTTATGAGGCCTTGATGCAATAAACTTACTTCACCGTTTGGTTCCCCAATCATCCCCTTCTTCTATGACTTGGGGTACAGGATCGAGGCCAAATTCCGTGAGTGCCCCCATTCTTACTGAAGGTCTTTATGTCCACCAACATCACTATACCTCATTCCTGTTGCTCTTATCTCCAGATTGTCAGGAATGTCAGGACTTCTTCATTGACAGATGTGCTGCCCACGGCCCCCCAACCTTTGTAAAAGACACTGCAGTTGAAAAGGGGCATGCCAACCGCTCAGCACTTACTTTGCCCCCTGGATTAAGTATCAGACTGTCAGGCATCCCTGAGGCTGGGCTTGGAGTATGGAATGAGGCATCCAATCTGCCTCTAGGCCTGCACTTTGGTCCCTACGAAGGCCAGGTCACAGAAGATGAAGAGGCCGCCCACAATGGGTATTCCTGGATGGTGAGAAATAACCCTCTTTCCCTGTCCTCTGGCCGCTAATCGCTTGTGTGTGGTGGGGGGTACTTCATATATACATGCAAGGACGTGGATGGTGATGACATGGTCAGCAGTGACACAGTCAGCCCTGTGTACTGTGTGCACTGGGCATGAACACAGATTCAGTTCAGTTTAGTTGCTAGTCATGTCCGACTCTGCGACCCCATGAACCACAGCATGCCAGGCCTCCCTGTCCATCACCAACTGCCGGAGTCTACCCAAACCCATGTCCATTGAGTCAGTGATGCAATCCAACAATCTCATCCTTTGTTGTCCATTCTCCTCCTGCCCTCAATCTTTCCCAGCATCAGGGTCTTTCCAAAAGAGTCAGCTCTTTGCATCAGGTGGTCAAAATATTGGAGTTTCAGCTTCAACATCAGTCTTTCCAATGAACACCCAGGACTGATCTCCTTTAGGATGGACTGGTTGGATCTCCTTGCAGTCCAATGGATTCTCAAGAGTCTTCTCCAACACCACAGTTCAAAAGCATGACTTCTTCTGCACTCAGCTTTCTGTATAGTCCAACTCTCACATCCATACATGACTACTGGACTACATGAACACAGGACTTCTATCTAAAGATCAGAAGAGAGGTGGGAGACAGTGGTACAAGCATAGAGAAGTGACTCCTCCCTTGTGGAGCCCTTGCCTTCAATGTGCCAATAGACTCAGACTTAAAATTATGATTAAGGAGCTTACCATGTGGTATGACTGGCAGCTGAATCCATGCAGGCTGAGGAACAGAATGACAGCAGAGGGAAATAATTCTTCTATCACTTTCACCAAAAAAATAAATAAATAAATAAAAGAGAGACGAAAGCTTGTATCTCTTTTCTGACACTCAGATCACCAAAGGAAGAAACAGGTACGAGTATGTGGATGGAAAGGACACATCTTTGGCCAATTGGATGAGGTGAGTGCAGTGAGTCTGCAGTTTCTAGACATCACTCCTCCTTCAAGTCCACACTCCTTTCCTTCTGAACCCGTCTCCTTCAATAGCTTTCACATCTTCTTTTCTCTTTTTCCTCCATATCATATCATTGCTCTTTCATTTCAAAATACATTAGAAAGAAAGAAAGAAAAATATAGCATGTGCCCTCAAAATATAAGTCTATATGCTCAAAAAAACTGAGGTGTTTGAAAACAACTTGTGGAGTCTAGATTCACCAGGGACACTTTAACTCACTTAGTTGACACTTACCTAGCACCTTATGTCCCAGGTTAGACAGTGAACTTCATTATTGAAGCAGATCACACAACCCATGTCCTTTTGGAGAAAATACTGAAGACAGGCATGAACCAGTTGATTTTAGGGATAGTATCCTTAATTTTTCTATTTTTGAATAACTGCACAGCACCAGGATGACCTAACATGGGAGACTTTGAGTCCATGTGGGCAACAACCTCCCTAGGCTCGGTTACAGTGAGAAGTGGGCCCTGAGGCCTGGGAAGGAATGTGGGGCAAGATGGCTGTGAGCATGCCCCTTCTCTGAGGGCCTCTCCTTTCATCAGGGCAGGCAGAAAGTGAATAAACTTTTACTGTTGTGTGTCTCAAGCTATGTCAGAACACTCTCCAAGTTTCCATGGGAGGGGGTGGGCAAGTGAATTGGACCCTGGATACACATGGGGAGATTGGAAAAAAGCTTTGGGAGAAAAAAGCAGGTTGGGGTGAGTGCTGGGGGGGTGCATGCTAGCCTAAGAGCACCAAGTCCTGTGGAATGAAAGAGAACTTAATTCAGAGTTTAGAGGAGCTGGAGGTCACCAGTCTTATAGATAGTCCAAATGGACACAAGTCTGGAACTGGGCTCTGTACAATGGCTAATTAGGTAAGGAGAGAAGAGCATTTCAGCCAGGAAGAGGATCAGAAACAGGATCTGGACATAAGAATTCACAAGCCATGGTCAAAGGTGTGAATAGATGGCCCCCATGAGGTGCGGTAGGAGCCATGGTGGCCTCAGAGCCTGAAGGCAAGGAGCTGGGCATGGTCTGACAGTGGAGGGGACTCATCACCTGTGGTTTCTTTCCCTTTCCTGGTCTCGACCCCAGGTATGTGAACTGTGCCCGACACTATGAGGAGCAGAACCTGGTGGCCCTCCAGTATCACGGGCAGATCTTCTATAGAACCTGCCAAGTGGTCCGGCCTGGCTGTGAGCTGCTGGTCTGGTATGGGGATGAATATGGCGAGGAACTTGGTATCAAGCGTGAAAGCAGGGGGAAGAGCATGCTCGCAGCCGGGAGAGGTGAGGGCCACCCCTCTTCCAGCACCCCAACCCATCCTGGGGAGCTTACCTTGTCCAATTCTGAAGCACAGTACAAACCAGTTTAAAGTCAGTCAAGTTGCAATTAAATGTGTCAGAATTTGATTCATTTCATATGACTGTTATGAAAAATATTTATATTAAAAATGTTAGTTCTAATTTTCAATATTTCATGCAAAAAATATGTAACATCACCTTCTGCTGGAAGGCTTAGAAGCTAAAAGCAAGTTTTCTAGCACCTACCAGCTCTCTCCCCTTTACCTGTTTCTTCCTCATTTCCTCCACATTTATAAGTGACATGTGTACAGTAGTTTGTATTCAGTTACTTTTTCAAGTTGTTGTCATGTGAGTTCATACTCTGTGCCAGACAGGGCTTCATGCACTGAAACGAACAGAACCACTGCCTTGGGGCAGCATGGGTTCATACCAGACAGGAGCTGGTGCTCTGAGCAAAACTGGTGCAGGAAAAGTGCCTCGGATTAGCATGAGCAGAGGGTGGGGTGTGGAGGAGAATGATGGAGCAGGATCTCTGCAGAGATAACACCTCTGGGAAAGGATTTCATGCAGGGGAGCAGCCAGTGCTGCAACCCCAGGGCTGGGAAGAGAGGCCATGGCAGTAGTCGTAGGAGGAATACAGAGGGAGAGAAAGGAGGCTGGAGAGAACACCAAAGCCTCAGTGCCTGTGTCCATGTGCAGGCCCCAGGGGTGTTCCTGGGTGACACAGAACAGCCATGTGGCTTTCAACTGCAAGCAGTATATTCTTTGTGCTAAGATGATGATTCAGTTCATTTTTGGGAAGAGACAGCAGCGGGGAGTCCCCTCAGAGGTCAGTTCGTCACCAGACATGAGGGGAGAGTGGGCTGGCTGAAGATGTATGGGAGTGAGGGTGTGAGGAGTCTGGTTGGAGACGTATATTTAACCAGGGCTTCCTAGTGCATGTTAAATGGACTAAGACTGAATCAAATAAATGAGCCTTCACCCAGCATTCACCCAGCATTCACCCAGCACATGGCCTCTAAGGTGTCTATGACAGACCAGAGTGCCCATGAGCCCACAGTCACCCAGCAGACTGCCTCTGAGAGGTCTTTGACAGACCAGAGTAACCATGAGCCTGCATTCCCACAGAAGATGGCCTCTGAGAGGTCTATGATAGACCAAAGCAACCGTTATTCTGCATTCACCCAGTGAATGGCCTCTGAGAGGTCTGTGACAGGTAAGAGTGACCACAAGGCTACAGTCACCCATCTTCTTAATATCCCAGCCTTAAGGAGAGAGTTTACCCAGTGGTTAGTGGTACAAACAGGCATGTACAGCTTTTTAGAGCACATGGCACGCCAGGGGATAATTAAAGTAAGCAGGACACACCTCAGTGATCAACGTCCTCAAGACAATATCCATCAAAGAAAGACCCCATGGAAAGAGCCACCCGTTGAAACCAAGTGGATTGAAGTCATTGAGTCTCCACCCTCAGGAGTGTGGGTCCAGGTGAGTAGGTGACAGACTACCCAGCTCATCTGGATGGTAGCCCAGTGGCGTCCCTACTGCCCAGAAGAAGTTTGGCCCAAGTCTAAGAACTTCACAGGGGGCTACCAAATCACTTCATGTGTGGGACCTCAGGTAATGTCCCTGATTTATGGCTAGGGAGTCTGAAGAGGGGGTGCACTCAGAGTTTCTGGTCCCCTCCGGCATTTGTCACTCAGACTCACTGTCCCTGTCTTCCTGGGGACCACCCTCTCTTCCATGTCTGTCACCATCTATCCCATTCCCCCTTCTGAGAAAAGCTAAGATCTGGGTAACAGTGCTAGCAGGACCCATGCATGCAGGATCTCTGTCCCCCAACTCTTTGACAAAGGGCATGTTTCACAAGATGCTGGTAAGGCTTTCAAGAGCAGAGAATGTTACATGCTGAGAGCCTGGTCTGACTCAGGAAGAAAACTCAGAGCGACCCCTTGTCCCCAACACAGTCAAGACAAAGTGCTTGGAGCTGAGAGGAAAGGGAGAGTGAGGGCCAGGCTCCAGATAACTCAGGGGCTGGACCCCGGCCCTCCTCCTTCTCTTGGTTTCAGCCCTCTCAACAATCAGATGTGGGTTATGTAAGATCTCCTGAGAGCCACATGCACCCAGTTCATGGCTCTAATTCTGTGCAAGGACATATGGGGGTTCTCAGAGCACCAGCAAGTAGCCAATGGGCAGGGAATCCCAGAAGATTTAGTCACCACAGAGTGAGGGCCCATGACAGCACTGCCTCAACCTGGGGCTCGAAGACCCAGGGCTCTTGTCTGAGTCACACTTGTGCGGTGTCTGCTGTCTGCAGGCTGCACTGCATCTATGTCCCCACAGGCCAAGCTCTGACAGAGCTGTGGGCTTGGCCGGGGAGCTGGGGATGCTCAGTACAGAACAGACGGTACCAAGGTCAGAGCACTGCACAGGAAGTCTCTGTGAGTGGTTGATAAAGGCCAGAGCCCCACCTGCCCCTGCTTGGAGGACATGGATGTTCACCTGAAAGACCAGAGAGGACGCCAAACCTCTGACAATGGCCCCAGAGGCCAAGCTAGCAGCACACTGCCAGAGCAAGGGTCGCCCAGGACACCAGGCAGGATGTGCACTGGGAAGTGGCAGCAGAGACTCCAGCCACAGGCAGGCCTAGTGACCCTGGGCGGGCACAGATGGCCTCAGACTGGGTCAGCACACAGACAAGATCAGGGGGCTCCTGGGTGAGGGAAGGGTGGGGTCTCCCAGCACCTTGCAGACCTGGGCCAGCTTGTACTGCAGGTCCTTTATGGTGCTGTTCTTCTATTCCAGAATGACTGAGAAGAGGAAGGTGTCAGGGAAGTGTGGCCTGGCTCCACCACAGGGACATCCACACAGGAGGGACTGCCGTATGAAGGCTTTGGAGAGAGACCCTGGTGTGTGTCCACCCCCAGACCCCGAGGGGACCTAGCCTCGGGGCTGGCTGCCTAAGGTCACCTAGCTGGCCAGGACCCCAGAGCCAGGCCTGACCACACCAGAGACCCCTGTCCACATCACCCACTCTTTCTGTGACATCTCCCAGGTCAGAGGGCAGAGAGACGAGGTCTGGCTCCAGGCAGGGTCTCTGCCAAGTGTGGTCCGGCCTTCCAGCTCCTGGGCACCGAGGCCTCGTCTGTCCCTTCCTGGCAGTGCCCAGTGACCGAGACAGCCCAGCCCAGGGGAATGCCACACACCACCACGGACACACCAGGGAACAGATGCTCAGCCTGTGACCAGAAGTGCCTCCCAAGGAAGCCTTCCCAGCATCCACCACACAGGCCACTGTGGGCCTTCCTCTCTTGCTGTGGCCTCTTCCAGGTCATCTTAGTGTCCAGGCAGACAGCGGCTGTGGCCTTGGCTAAGAGGCCAAGCTGCAGTGGGCAATGGACTCAGGCTAGGAGGGCTAGAAGGCCAGGGAGGGGCTGGGGAGACCTTGAAGACACTGGAGCCAGGAGACCACGGCACACACAGCTCTGGTTGCTCTGGCCAGGAAACCACGACTGCCCCTCCCCAAGGCTGACTAAAGGTCTGAACTACAGGGATGGAGCCCCAACTGCAGCCCTCAAGGCCTACCTCCAGCTTGTGGGACATGAGTGTCAGGACTGAGGGGTCCAGGTTGGAGGCCGCCAGCACCTTGCTGAACTGCACCTCCTCCTTCGAAAGGGCAGTGGCCCGTGCCTAGATCTTGAGCTCCAGGACAAGGTCCTTAGGCCTCCCTTCTGTTGAACCTCCAGGATGCCCACAGTGAACATCCAGGGACCCTTTCTTACTTCCTTCTACATAAACACAGAAATCCGTATCTCTAACCCAGAAATGTGTAACTCTAGGAAAGCAGAAATAATATTCCACAGAAATAATATTTCATTGTACACACAAAACCTGAATCTCACATGCGTAATCCACAAGGACCTGATACTCAGCCATCTGCTTGACTTCTAGGGCCAAAAATCTAGGAAAAAGTATAGATCTCCCATAGATTCATTATACCTGAATCAAGTGGTTGTATGCTGACAACAGTCACAGCATAGCAAATCGACTATACTGTAACAGAGCATAGGCATGATATTAAAGAGAAGGAAAGAAAACCAGTCCCTACTTTATTCCCCCTGGCTTCCTGAACTGGGGCTGCTACCCCATCCCTGGAGTGTAACCAGGCTTAGATCCCACTGCTTGACTAGTGTGGGTTCGGGAGAGGCTGGCAGGGTACCCAGCATTGAACCCTTTTTCTTTCTTTCTTTCTTTCTTTATTTTTTATTTTTATTAGTTGGAGGCTAATTACTTTACAATATTGTAGTGGTTTTTGTCATACATTGACATGAATTAGCCATGGATTTACATGAATTCCCCATCCCGATCCCCCCTCCCACCTCCCTCTCGACCCCATCCCTTTGGCTCTTCCCAGTGCACCAGGTCCGAGCACTTGTCTCATGCATCCAACCTGGGCTGGTGATCTGTTTCACCCTAGATAATATACATGTTTCAATGCTGCATTGAACCCTTTTTAAACGTTTACTGTCTGCTTTGTTCTGGCTTGGACCAGCCTCCCCAGTGGGATCCAGGCCTCCAAGGACTTGGGAACAAATACTACTAAGCCACCACGTGCCTTGGTGCTAGGCATTCCAGCTCAAGCCTCCTTCCCAGAAAACTGTCACCCTTCATTTTTTTGAAAATGAAAAATACATTCCATGAAGTTGTGATGCTGTGTGTTGGAAATACAACTGAAAGTTCTGTGATAAATGTGCTGATTATGGAACACATTTAATCCAGCTTTCTATGAAACACCAGTGAAAACAATGCTTTACATTTGTTTCACACTTTAGTTTATATCAGGTTTTTGTTTGTAGTCTTTTCAGTGCTGCTTCCTAATAACCAATTTCAGAGGTTTTTCAAGAAATCCTCTGCGCTCCTTCTTCAGAAGCTCTGGTCTGGCCTCTGGCCCTGGGACCGATGGCGTCAGCTCCTTGGAGCCAGATTAACCCCAGCCTTTCAGTCCACTTTCCAGAGTTGTAACCCGTCGTTAAGAGCACTCCACACCTCACACACACCTGCAAGCAGACAG